AGGTCTGGGTTGCATTCTCCAGAAGGATCTGCACAAAGGCAGGGGAAGGATTTCAGTGCCTGGAATCATTCCCAGCACATCCTGGAATACCTGGCATTAGGTTTATTAAACTTTGCTTTAACCCAGTAGTCACCTCCACGCTTTGGCCTGAGTTGCAACTGGAGGGAGGAGCAGCAGCTCAAAAAATTACCTGTTACTGCTCAAAAAAACTCCTCCTGAACACCCAGAAACATAAGGTGAGATATTTTTCTTCCTCTATCATCTCCAACTGCACTTTTAAAGTGAGGAAGGCACTTTTGATTCTCCCCACGGACAGCAAAAGGAGTTACTTTAAATAATCTTGATGAGTTCACAGGTAAATGATTGTTAATATTTACAGGATATCAGGGGAACAGCTCAGCTACCCACTAAATCAATCATAATTTCCAAAAATCCACCTTTTACCACCTCAAACACCTCACAGTGAGGTGACAAAACAAGCAGAGGAAGTGCAGGAAAAGGTTTCCTTTTCCAAGGATACATTTGGACACAGGTGTTTAAACTTCACACAAAATAACCTTTTGAATAAACACCCACTCTGCCCTAAAAACCCCGAGCATTTTTTTAAACCGTTTTTTTCCACTCTTAGGGGATGATGTGGCTGCTCCTTGAAGCACAGACCTGGTTTGGAGGGGTGTTTGGTGTAATCAAAGACCAGGACGTCGCTGGAGGGAGTCTTGGTGGCGATGATGCAGGGGTTCTGGGGCATGTACCGAGCTCTGTTCACCTCTCCCTCGTGGTTGATCTTAATTTCAATTTCAATTTTTCCACTTACTGAGCCAAAGCCTCCAAACTCTAGGAACAACAGTTGTGAATAATAAGATAGTTTCAGAACAAGGCACAAAGAGTTGATTCAAGCTTTGCTACCAAACACTCTCAAAATAGATAAAGTTGTGGTAAAAATAAATTGCAGTTTTAGGACTGTGATACAACTTGTTAAAGCTTCTTTAGACATAAAACAACTCAATAATGCATAGAACTGCGAAAGTCGGGCAAAAATAATTAGTTGTGGATTATTTTAAAATTATTTTTTAATATTTCTGAGAAATACTAAAATAGAGTAGAAACAGGTGTTTATTAGACAACCCAGTGTTCATAAACAACTTTAAAAAGCCCAAAGATCAAAATTCTCATTGCACAATCCAAACTTCCTGTGAAAAGAGCAAACATTGGATCATGAAGGACTTTCACCAGGTGGAAAGATTGATTCAGCCAAGCAAACAGGAGAAATGCCTACCTTGGGACAGCCACAAAAGTTACAAAGCATCCAGTTCAAGTCTGATACATGGAATAAAACACAATTTCACCCCAGAGGGGCTGGGACAATAATCAGGCAGCAGAACTCACAGATAAATGAAGAATGTTTCAAATTTACACTCGTCTGATATAAAAAAACATTCTTTTACTTGAGTTTGTGTAAAAATTTTTTTGCATGATTTTACAACTGTGGTAATAAAAACACCAATTAAAAGCACTGCATGAGGTTCAAGGTCAGCTTATGAGAAATAGGGAAGGGAGAGATTTTCCCACATAAATACTTTTGCAATTAACCTCCACCTTCTGTTTCCATCATTAGATTATTAACACACTCAAGAAACAGAGCATTTGTCTATTAAGGAGGCACCACGTAGAAATAATTTTTTTTTAGAAGTAAAATCTGAACTTTGCTGCCTGAACTTTAGGGAAAGACAAATTTTCTGTCGAGAAAAGAAGGGAAAAAAAATGGTTTAAATCCTCCTTTTTGGGCTCTTACCTCCTTTCTCACTGTCATAGTGGGAAGCATCAAACTGGGCATCGTCGTTGGGCAGCTGCACACTGGCAATCACCAGGTGGTTTTGCTCATCTGAGGTGTGGGTGCCCAGCACCAACCTGTGGATGCTGAAATCTTTGCCTTCAGGTCTGCAGGGGAAGAAAAACAAAAGAGAGATCACAAAATCTCTTCTCTGTGAAGATGGGGAGGTCCTGGCACAGGAGAAGCTGTGGCTGCCACATCCTTGGAAGTGTCCGAGGCCAGGCTGGACAGGGTTTGGAGCACCCTGGGATGGTGGAAGGTATCCCTGGATGAGCTTTAAGGTCTCTTCCCACCCAAACCAGCTTGGGATTCTGTGATCTCAACCAAAAAGTCTCTCAGCACAATGCTGGGTTTGCTTTAAAAAGAGAACAGGAGGGTCCCTTTACCTTGTGACATCAGGAAGCCACTGAGCAGTCAAGCTGGGCCACTCCAGGGCATGGGTCATCACCAAGTCATACAGGAAGGGGGTGTTCTTTTTCCATATCTTATACTCCTCGTTGATCACACGCTCTTCCACTGCATCATCAAAGGCTGCTGAAGTGATTTTTTTCAAGAAATACATACAATTAATTATTTATAAATGCATTTATAGGCACGCAGCGCTGTGGGCAGGCAATGGATTAAAGTGAAGTACATCAATCAAACCCTGGTTTTCTCTTTGCTCTATTGGAATAGTTACTAAATGGTTAAAAATCCCCTGTTGTATATGTTAATCCTTTTTTCTGGATACATGGCCGGGAATTAATATTAATTATGTCAAATTTCATCCCTGGAAGTGTGCCACGACAGGCTGGACAAGGCTTGGAGCAAGCTGGGATAGTGGAAAGTGTCCCTGCCATGGCAGGGGTGGAATGGGATGAGTTTTAAGTCCCTTCCGGCCCAATCCATTCTGGGATGATTTGATGATGATGGTGTTCGAGCAGCTCAACAAAATTCTGTGACTCAGCGTACAGGGAGGCAAAACCCAGACTCGTAACAATGTTTTAACGCAGGAGATCGAGCGTTAAACAGTAACTGCTGTTTAACAGACCGGTCTGGGCGCAGCCTTGAACTACTTGTTTCCAAAATCCAGTTTCCCAAGGCTCCTTCTCTGCTGTCCTGTCGCTCTTTAACACTTTCTCGGCCCATCTGTCACCAGCCTCCGGTGTAGAGGAGAAGGCGATGGGCAGACCTGGGGGAGCTCACCCGCAGGAAGGGGACACCCCACGGGACCGGGGACACCCCCACGGAACCGGGGACACTCCGAAGGAACCGGAGCTCGCCCACGGAACGGGAGCTCACCCATGAAAACGGAGGCACCCCCAGGACACCGGAGACACCTCTTTGTCTGCCCGCTCCCCTCACAGGGCACAGCCCGGCCCTGCTGGCTTCACAAACCCCTTCCTAGGGACACAGGGGCGGGCAGAAGGTCCCGGCCCGGGCCCGCTCTCCCCGTTTGGTGCCGCGGGCGGGGGGAAGGCAGCGGCGGCCATGACGGGGGGGGGGCCCCCCTCAGGCCCCGCCCCCGCGCGCCCCCTGGCGGCACCGCCCCGCTCCCCTCACGCCGTAACGGAGGGGGGGGGGGAGCACCCCGGGCCTCACAGCGGAGGCCGCGCCGCCCATACGGAGCCTTTACCTTCCTTGTCGGCCATGGCGCGGCGGGGGGAGCGCGGCGGCCGCGGGGCTCAAGGCGGGGCGGGCTGGGCGAGGCGGGCGGGCGGTTCCTGCGCTCGCTGCTCCGACCCCTCCGGCCGCGGCTCCCGTCTATTGTTTCCTGCCCCCGCTGCGTGCGGCTCCCGGCGCCGCGCACCCCTTCGCGCGCCAACGCCGCCCAATCAGCGCCCGCCGCCGGGAGGCGCTGACCAATCGGAGAAGGGCAAGGGGCGGGGACAGGAGCGCGCGCAGCGGTCACGTGGGCGGGCTCCCTCCTGGGAGCCGCCATTTTCCGGAGCGCCCTCAGCGCGCTCTTAAAGGGGCCGCGCCCCACGCTGAGGGGAGCCGGGTTCGGGTTTTGGTCCCGGTTCCCGGTCCTTGCTCCCGGTTCTTGCTCCCAGTCCCCGGTTTGGAACTGAACCGGTGGCTGCGACTCCTCCGGTCAGCACAGCCGTGGGCAGAGCGTATCGGGGCGGGACCGAGAGCGTGCGGGCCGAGGCCTCCTTCCAGGGCCGCCCTGTCACCATCCGGTATCCTCGGCGTGTTATTAATTTTCTGTAATCATGAATATATTCCCTTTTTCCACAATGCAGTGCTGCGGTGAGTTTTAGAGATACAATATTTGCTAGTTCTGGTCGGCTGCTGAGGGTAACCTGGGACTTGACTGTCCACAGCTGAGGCTTAACAGGTTTAAAATCAAATATCAAATCAATATCTGGGTTTATTCCTCAAGAGATACCCCGAGTTCTCAATTTTAGACTTCTTTCCAACACACTTAGATGTCTATCTGCAATTAGGAATTGGAAATTCTGTGTCTTGTTTCTAAGCCTTGGAGTAAGAAGCAACTCTTGTGTAAAAGTTAAGGGTTATCTTATTTTTTGCATTGTTCGGGAAAAAGTGTTGGATTCAGATGTGGATAAATTTTATAATACCCAAAAATATTAAAGAATTATTATGATATCAGGAAATCTGAAGAGGAAAATTAATTAGCCTGAAGTTAATGGGGTTCTTCAGTTTGTGTCTGTTGGATTTACAAATGAACGAGAAAACAGCAATTTATGAGATTGGGTGTGAGAATCTGACTTTTAAATGGAGGACTTGATACAGTTCTTTAGGAGTTTTTTTTTTTGCTTTGTTTTATTTATTAAAAAAACAGCCAGAAAAGGACCACAGGAAAGCCCTTGCACTGAGGTGACAGCTGGATTTGCCATGCACGTGCTTTGAGGTTTAAATGTAATCCTTGTCCTAAGAGAACACAACTTATTTTCCTCTGTAAGGTCATATCAGGGGTTTTTGGGGGCAGTGACACTTCGGGTGTGTGATGTACAATGGGGTGGGCACCCCCCAAAAAAATTAATTAGAAAATTAAAATTAAGCTAAAGCGTGGAAGTTTAATTCACTTTACAGCTGTTCCCATCGGGGCTGTATTTTATTATTTGTGAATTAATTGAATGCTCAGTTTACACAGGGAAGAAGAAACACAATTCCTCCCCAGAAAAGGCCAAAAAAATCCACAATTCCCATAAGGAATAATTCCCTTTGCCTCTGCTGCCTCAACAAATATCACTTCATGGGTGTGGGATTGAACTCCCAATTTCCTCACCTCCCAGTCTGACACAAAAGAACTGAAATGACACGAATTTAAGCACTGAGAAGAATCCTCCCTGTTCTCCACAGGTTGAATTGAATCACTCCAGAGAAACCAGGAAGTGAGGGAGAATTCCTGGACTTTCCCCAGCAGCAGGAAGGGAGGGATTCCCGTGGAGCTCTCAGCGATGGCAGCTGAGGACAGGGATTACAACCTGACCGAGGAGCAGAAGGCTGTGAAAGCCAAGTACCCCCCTCTCTGCAAGAAATATGAATGTGAGTATTTAAAATATTTTTAAAATATTATCGTGATGAGGCGTGGGTGTGACAGTGCTGCTGTGAGGGCAAGGAAGATAAGAGGAAATACAGAAAGGAGAAATTTTCTCCATCATGCTTTTCTTGTTAGAGGCAGTGAAAAAAATCACGATGGAAATAAATTATTTAATTTAAAGTTTTTTATTTATTTTCCTCTTCTGTGCCATGTCTTAGCAATTTTTCCTCTTCTGGGCTATCCCTTAGCAATTTTTTTACCTCTCCTGTAGGAAGAGACATTCAAAAGTGTGCTGGTCTTGTGTGTGGTGGTTTTTTTCTCTACTCAAAGATGATTATCTCTACCTTTCCCCACCCCTGGAATGTCTCCTGAGAGGATGTGGGTGGCAGCCCCAGGGCCAGCTGAAGGCAGGGAACCATTCCCTGCCTGTTTTCTGTGTCTGTCTGGAGGGACTGTTTCTGTTACCTCTGTTAGAATCGATATTTTTAGTTGTTTATTTGATAGAAGTGCAGAAATACAGTGACACACCACAACAACCACTCAGTTTCCATAACTGGAGGAAGTTTTAATCCCTCTTTTGCATCCAAAGGAATTTGTTTGCTTTAGAGACCGTTGTTGAGAACCTTTTAATAGTGTGTGATCTCTTTAAGCAGCACCAAAATAATTTTTCAGTTGAAGTGAGCATTTATCTCACATCCCAACTTAGTTCTGCTGGATTTTTGCATTTCTTTCATTCCTCTGAATAAATATAAATGAGGTTCATGTCCAACTGGATACATGGGATGTTAATCATTCTTCATGAGTGAAATTTGCCTTCTATTTTATATTCCATCCTATGGTTTAAAGTCTTCTCTTTGCATGATGGCTGCTTTTGGGTGTGGACAGGTAGATTTCCTCCCTGAGCTGGAAATAATTGCAAATCTCATCCTCTGCATGAATAATTTTCAGTCCTGTAGATTTCAGCATAAACTCTTTACTCCTGGTGAAAGTTTCTTTTTATTGCAGTTAACTTGTTGGGTTACAACAGCTAAACCCTACACTGACATAATCACATTAAACAGGGTTTTTTGGCAGAAATAATCCAAAATTCCACCTGTGCTAACTTTTTCTTGTATTCTGCAAAATAGATTTATCACATCTGCAGATGAATGCAAAAATTTTTTGTTAAAAAATCAGATATTTATGTTATATTTTTTAAATCCACGTGTTATAAATACTTTTGGTGACATCATTTCTTTTTTGCTTCCCCTCAGATTTGGATCACACAGCAGACGTGCAGTAAGTGTGGGCAGCTGGGATTTCTCAGGGTGACAAATTGATTTTTTTTTTACACTGCTTTAAGGCTGGAGTAACAGCCAAGGGCAGTTTGCAGATGTAACACCTTGTAGAGCTCTGAAATGTCACTCACTGGGTGCTTTGATGGTCAATTTTGTTCCTGCTTTTGAATCATGTTTGGTTTCTTTTCTAATGTTCCTATGGTGCTTCTGACTCAGCACCTGTGTTATTTGGAAATGTGTTTTGAAATCTCCTTTTAATCCCCTCCTTTCAAACAAAATTTCTTCTGTGTGGTTTACTTTTATAGACACCAATTGGCCATATTAGGAAAGAACTTTCTTGGTGCCTGGTAAAACATTTATTTTCCATGTTCTCCCACACATAAACTGTCAAACTTCTAGAGAAACCAGGTGTTTTTTTATTTATTCACCTCCTCTGCCTGAACTCCCATGTTCTGATTGCTCACCTGTATTTGACTTTGGGGCTATTTCTGTTTGTTGTGATCCAGTATTATATTCCAGTGATTATTCCAGGTGTTTTTGGGTCCCAGTGTTTATTCCATGTGTTTTTAGGCTCCATGCCTGGGGAGACACTTTGGAAGAAGCCTTTGAGCAGTGTGCCATGGCCATGTTTGGCTACATGACAGACACAGGCACTGTGGAACCTGTGGATACAGTGGAGGTGTTGGCAGAAGGTGAGGACTGCACCTTTTCTATGGAGTTATGAGGGGGAGAAAGGTACCAAAAATCTCAATCTTTACACATAGCCTTAGTGCAGTTAATTAAAATACAATTAAGCATTGTTGTCTGCATCTCCTGTTCATCTGAGGTGCTCTTAAAAATGTTTTTGCTGAGACAATCTCTGCTTCAACCACACAGGGCATGACCTGTTGTCTCTTCTCTTCCACTTTCTGGATGAATGGCTGTATAAATTCAGTGCTGATGAATTTTTTATACCCAGGGTAAGTGTTCTGGTTTCAACTTTTTCCATTTGTAGGACAAAGCTGTTCCCTGTTAATCTGAATGCAGTGGTATTTTAGGGGAAAAAGGAACAAAAAAATACAAGGCCAGGTTGGACAGGGCTTGGGGTAAGCTAGGTTGGTGGAAAGTGTCTAAACAGTGGGAAATAACCTTTGTAAGTGGGATTTACTGGGAATTTCTGCCTGAAGGTAGAAGGTGTGACTGACACATTTCTCCTCCCACTCTCTGCAGGAAGTGAAAGTGCTTCACATTGACCGAATGCAGTTCAAAATAAGATCAATTGGGTGAGCTTAAACCATTGTGTGAAAATGGACTGTGCACTTTTCTTGCTTCCTTTGAGGCTTCAAATGAAATTCTCACTGTTCTGTGTTCATCACTGAAACTAATTACAGCATTTGGTAAATGTTACCAAAATTACAACACCTCTCTTCTATTTTTTTGCCTTTACAGATGGGGAGAAGAGTTCTCTTTAGACAAACACCCACAGGTAGGCAGTGGTTCCTCTTTTCCATTTTAGGGGGAGGAGGTGTTCTGTCCTTTAAATCAGAGATCAAAATAGAAACGTGGCTGAAGTACCACTGACCTCAAGATCTCACTTTCTGCATGGTTTTGTGAATGTGTCCCTGAAACTGTTGACATTTCCTCAGCACAATCAAAACTCAAAAAATTAACTCAATTGGCCTCCTTTTTGTGATGGAGATAACACAGAAAATCAGTCTATATTCAGAACTTAGGTGTTTGGGTTTCACACTATTGGTACAGATTTCTGCTTAGACAGTTTTTGATTTTTTTTCTTCTTTTTTTTTTCCCTAAAGAATTGTTAAAAGCAAAATCTGATGTCTTGATCTGTGTCATTTTTAGCATAGCAAATGTTGATGGTCTGTCAGAGATAAGAGGAGGAATTTGTGGTATTAAGAGGATAAAAAAATTAGGAAAAAGTTCAGTTCCATTTTTACTATTTGGCCTGGCCATTATTGTGGCAACTTCCTTATTCATCAGAACAAATATAGTTACAGGTTTTTTTTGGGAAAAAAATGGATAGCATTTGAGGAAAGTGATGAGAACTGGGGATTCTGAACTAGTAAAAGAGATATAATTTAGAAAATCTATGGTTTGTGTCTCTTTTCTAGGGCACAGAGGTCAAAGCCATAACTTACTCAGCAATGCAGATCTGTGAAGATGAAAAGCCAGAAGTTTTTGTCATCATTGATATTTAAAGCAAGAAGAATGTGGTTGAGTGGATATGGGTCATCATCTGGCAGAAGCCCCCTAAAACTGCAATCCCTGTGGAAAAAAAATAAACCTAAGGAATTGGCCAGTTAAAATCAGAAATTGAAGGGACTAATTGCAGGGAATGTTTCCACAGAGATAGAGAATAAGAATTAACTGAGCTTTGGGGGATCTGGAGAAGGAGAGGTTTGTACAGGTTGGAAGTCTCCCAGGAATGCTGGCAGTCAGCTTTTAAAGGCTGATCCATGTGCTAGGGGCTGTATGAAATACATAAATTGGTGGAGCTGATAACTAAAATACTCTTTTTGCAGCGTGGCAGGAGATCATGTTCATCTAGATTGATTTCATTTGCATATTTCATGTTCTAATTCTGAGCTGATGTTCCTCTTCCATATTACATCAATCCAAAATAGCTGCCGTGCCTCAGATGTAACGTGGGCAAAAATCTGAGTGTTTAAAATTAGACACCTAAAAAAATGGTGCCAATTAAGCAAACAAACCACCACATCTTTTAAACAACTTAAAAAAGAAGTCATGCCAGCAGGTGGTGCTGAATTGCTGTAAATAAATTGCCACGTGAAATCCTAAAGCATGTGACTATACCTGGAATCCTCTTATCACCTATGATAAATCTAAAAAGTTGGCAGCTTTGCTGCTGTGGGAGAAGGGAATGGAAATGGATGTCCCAGGTTCTCCATGGGTTCACTCCCATCTGTATCTTGTGAAAACTGACTCTTTTTTTAAAAGCATGGTTTGGATCAGCCTAATTGTCTTTTAAAAAGAATATAGACAATCCTTAAATGTCAAAGGATTATGGACTTGACTGAATCAAAATTAGTCAAAAATAATCAAAAGTACGTTTGTTTTTCTTTTCAATCACAGGATGGCAAATGTGCATTACCTGCTGTTTTAATTTAATTTAAATGTAAGGAGCATAGGCCTGGCCTGCTCTGTTACCATAAACACTCCAAGTGCCTCACTGTGGTGTCTCATAAAGTCATCTTAAGTAGTTCTGGTTTTATTTCCATGCTATAAAGACAGAGGGATAAAACCTCTCTTATTTTTTAAGAAAGCCTCAATGCTGAAATAAAACTTGGACTGAAACAATTAATGGCTTTGTGAGTGATCTTGGTTAATATAGACACAAATGATTTACACTTGTGCTTTGTTCCCCGCTAAGGTGAGCAGACTTTTTTTTTTAATCAGTAAAAATTGCAACATGCCAGTTTAATAGTACAAAATAAGTGTGATTTTGACAGCTTGGAGTTTCTTTCTCCTCAGGCAGAGCCCCAAAGGCAAGGAGGGCATGGCCGCCATTGCGGCCCCTCAGAGGCTGCTCTGCAACATGATTGGCTGGCTGGGTCACGTGGCTGCGAACGGCCAATCAGGCGTCGAGTTGAGGCGGTGTTTGTTCTGTACTGCCTGAGGGGAGATGGACGCTGAGGGAGGGTCAGCGGCTGTGGGGAGATGGACACTGAGGGTCAGTGTTTGTGGGGAGATGGACACTGAGGGAGGGTCAGTGTTTGTGGGGAGATGGACACTGAGGGAGGGTCAGCGGCTGTGAGGAGATGGACACTGAGGGAGGGTCAGTGTTTGTGGGGAGATGGACACTGAGAGTCAGTGTTTGTGGGGAGATGGACGCTGAGGGAAGATCAATGGCTCTGGGGAGATGGACACTGAGGCCCAGTGGCTCTGGGGAGATGTGCACAGGGGCTGGGGGGAGGTGGGTGTAGGAGCTGAGGACAGCCTTCCTTTAGCCCAGCTCTCTAAAACATGAGAAAATTAATTTATATGGTTAAATTTTAACTTTGCAGACAAACGCTGAGCTGCCCAAAGATCAGGCTATAATAACACACTGAAGTGCTCTACTTATTGAAATGCTGACAGGAGCTTGCTAGGAAAACACTTGGAATTAACTAAGTAAGTGTTTTTCATCTAGGGTTTTTTTCAGTATTAATAAAGTACTTGCTATGAAACAGGTTTTAAATTCACCTTGTTCCATTTGCACAGCTGTGGCAGTGGCAGGTTTCAGCTCACCCAGGGCTTTACAGAATGCCCTAAAAGTGGATCATTAAAAAACACCCTCAGACTGCAAACCCTTCTGGGGATGCCAAAGGATCCTGTAGATGTAGGAAGTTTAAGGATATAGTGATGAACTACCTGAAAAGATCTGCATTGGTGGTTACTGATCTCAAGGAGAACTGAAAAAGTCTGGAGATCTGGAAAGCATTAGGGAATTATTACAGAAGCTTGCCCCATTCTCACTTTTGCTGAATTTAATGGCAGCTGTTGGAGGCAGAACCTGGATGTGGATCAATATGGCTTTTCTCAAATTCTCTGTGGGGAATTTCTGCTTTCTTGGCAGGAACCTCAGGCTACAGATGCTGTTAACAGGAAAGGAAACACAACATCAAATGAGACACGAGACCAAACAGTGGCTCCTTATCAGGAGTACCACTGGGAATGCCGTTCTCTGCTCTCAGGCAGAAGGTTTCTTCTATGCACTCCTTGAGCTTTTCTTCTTTAATCATTTAATATTGAGCATTTTTAGTTCCTCTGCCAAGTGCAGGTTCTCTGATCCAAGTGACTGGGGAAATAAATATGACTAAAAAAGCTTAAGAGACTCCAGAACTACAAAGGCTGCTTAACCTCTGAGGGAAATTGTGCTTATAAAAAATGGTTTTATGCTGTCAAGCACCCTAAAGTTATACAAGCAGGAGAGTCTTTCTAAAGTAGCTCCATGATCTTAAGTCACAGATGTCCCACTGAAATTCAGGGGACTTGGCCTCTTTATTCCTAAAGTAAGGTAGATGAGTTTAAGCAAATCTTGCATCAGTCCTGGGGGGAAAAAAAATGGAAAAAACCTGACAACTGTACTTCCAGTGATTGCACTTTTATTTCCTTGGAACCACGTGGGTGTATCTTTCTATAAAATTCACAGTACAAAAAAAAAAAAAAAAAGGCAAATTCATACTATCCAAGTGCACTACAGACTCTGGTTACCTGCTCTACTCTGGCTGGGGGAGTTCCTAAATCATGCTTTTCTCAACTCTAAGAAGCTGCAAGTTCACTGAGAAAACAAAGCTCTGGTTAAAAGGTTCTTCAGCAGGAAGAACTCCACTTGTTTCCTTCGCTCCTTTCTTGGCAAGTTTCTGATGTGTTATGCACAAATTAATTACAATATCAGGAAAAAAAAAAAAGTGGTTTAACATTTCTCAGCTGCTCACCTCGGTAAGAGTTTTTCCAAAGCGAATTAGCAATATTTGTTTTTTAAAAATCTGTATTGTACAGAACCTTTGTAGAACTGTAAACTGGTTCACACTTTCATGACGAGTAGGAGCTCTGAGCAAGTCTTTGATGAAATATAAAACAATTCTCCTAAATAAGTTTCCAGATAATAAATGAGCAGCTGGACTTTGATGTTCCTTGTGGGTCTCTTCCAACTCAGGGTATTTTATAATCCTCAGTACTTTCTGCATGACATTTAGAAGCAATTACACTGTCCCATGTCTGCAAAACAACTTGTTTTAGTCCAATTTTTGCTTCTCAGAACAGATTTTTTAGCAATAATTCATTTTATTAAAAGTAGCAAACCAGCATTAGTTGGTAGGACACGAGTCATTTCATCTTGAACACAACAATAACAAATACACCAAGATCTACCTAAGATTTGGCTTCACCTTTTCCATCACCTCATCCGGAATATCATCATTATTGTGTCGGACAACCAAATTATAGGGCTCCTCCTCTCCTGTCTCTTCATCTGATTTCTGCTCCTCCTCCAAAGCCCATTTGGGGCGTTTGTTTCCCGTGGAGGACACGGGGGAATGTTCAGGTGCATTGAAATCCTCGGCAATGCTGTCGAAATTGGCTCCTGCCAAGCACTTGTGGCACAGTCTGTAGCGCCGTGTCCCCTGCTGCACCACACAGCCCGTCAGCTCTGTCACCTGACGCTTGCACTTCCTGCAGATCAGTTTGCCAGCTTGGTGTATCTGAAAGGATTTCAAATTTAGAAATTCAGCCTTCATCCGGTTTTTTTGGGTTTTTTTTGGTTTTTTTTTAGAGGAAACGTGCTGAATCGCGCTAAAATAATCAAATTTTAAATACAGTTTGCTTTGTTAAATAATGAATAATTCAAGCTGATGCGCTGCTTTTCTGGTGCTGGGTTTGGATATATCTACACAGCTGCCACCAGCAAAGTGGTTCACACTGGTGGCTTTTCCTACTGTCCACCAACCCCGGTGGCTTTTCCTACTGTCCCCAACCTCCTACTGTCCCCAACCCTGGTGGCTATTCTTCCCATCCCCAACCCCAGTGGCTTTTCCTCCTATCCCAAACCCTGGTGGCTTTTCCTACTGTCCACCAACCCTGGTGGCTTTTTCTCCCATCCCCAACCCTGGTGGCTTTTCCTATTGTCCCCAACCTCCTCCCATCCTCATCCCTGGTGTGTTTTCCTCCCACCTCCACGTCTTGTGGCTTTTCCTATTGTCCTTAATCTCCTATTCTCCCCAACCCTGGTGGCTTTTTCCCCCATCCCCACCCTGGTGGCTTTTCCTATTGTCCCCAACCTCCTCCCAGCCCACCCCCGGTGTGTTTTCCTCCCCCCTCACCCCCGGTGTGTTTCCCACCGTTTGGAAGTGGTTGCGCAGGTGCTCCAGGCGGGTGAATCTCTTCCCGCACGCCTCGCAGGGGTACGGCCGCTCCCCGGTGTGACACCGCAGGTGACGCTTCAGGTCCGCCCGGCGCTTCACGGTGTGGGTGCAGAACGGGCACTTGAATCTCATCCGGGGCAGGTCACCTGGCAGGGTGTTTGGGGGATTTATTAGTCATTGCACCCCCAGGTGCAGGGGGTAAGGAATTCATCGTTTCTCTCCGGTTTTAATACCCTTCTGGTCCCTAGGCTTGTTTTCAGAATTCATCGTGTCTCTCAGGAGCCCTTCATATGTCTCTGGTTTTAATACCTTTCTGGTCCCTAGGCTTATTTTTTTATCTGGAGATCACTCCAGTATTACCCCTAACATGTAGTTTTTACAGTAGAGGGACACAGATTAGAAAATAAGCCTAGGGAGCAGAAAGGTATTAAAACCTCAAAAAAAAACCCCTTGGTACCAGAGACACATGAAGGCCTCCACCCTGAGAGACATGATGAATTCTGAAAATAAGCCTAGGAACCAGACAGGTTTTAAAACCTAAAAAAACCCCAAAAACCTAGGGAACAGAGACACATGAAAGCCTCCTAAGAGACATGTTGAATTCTCCAACCCCTTGACTCTCAAAACAAGCCTTAAAGGTGCAGAACTTAATATCCAGGATAAACAACAGATAATTGGAAATACAAGCATCATGAAGTCACTCCAGGACACAGGGATGGGGCACACAGCAGAGCTTTCTTGCTGCACTTTAACCAATTTTCAGTTTAAAATATATGACAGGTCGAATTTTCTTTAAATAGGAAAAATCCCCGATATTTGGATGCTTATAATAAGGATGTATTATATTATATATAAGTATATAATGATACATAAAATAAGGCTTTCAGGCTTTGGGGGATATAGATTTGTTAAATTTTTATATGTAGATAGATAAAATAATCATATATATATGTGTGTGTGTGTGTGTGTGTATATATATGTATCCCCCAGGTTGCATTTTTATTCTTATTTAACATGTTAATTGACCACTTGACAGTGTTTTCTTACTGGCAGCATTTTTTAGATATAAAGGTGATCATAAATATGCAGATATTTATATATAGCCATCCTATCTCTTCCACCAGCTAATAGCTCATAGCTTTGACAATTATAATCACTGTGTGATATATAAACATGTCTTTAGAATATGCAATTATGATCTACAGATATGTTCATTTCCAAAGGAATGCACATGGAAATAAACCTGTCAGCTTTGCAGCTGATGTCAGAAGTCTGGGCTGGTTGGACCCCAAAATGCAACATCCCAGCAATGGCAGGACCTCTCATGTGAAGGACTTGGGTTGGGTTGAGGTTGAACACCTCTGTTATTGCCAGGTACTGGAGAAACTCAGTCCTTCAGGTTCCCAATTACAGCCCTTGACGTTTCATTAAACTCCACTTGGGCCCAAATAATCAGGCATGTTTTGGTTGAATTTACCGAATACCTGGGTCAGTCCCATTCCAATTCCCATACCCTGTTCTGGCTTCAAAATTTTAGTGTCAGCACTAAAATTGAGTAGATAAGATCACTTATAATTCCAGGCACGTTTTTGGTTTCCATACAAATTCCTTCCAAATCATCACCTGAATTCTCCTAAATAAAACCAAACTTTCCCAAGCGGTTTCTATTATTTACCTTCATTCCAGCTACTCATTACCCCTAAAATTGTGGGCATTGAGGTGTACAGTTCTTCTGCCTTTAATTCCATGAACTCAGGAGTTCTGGAAAGTTCTTGTTCTAGCTGAGTAACCGACCACTTCTTGGGTACATCTGCTCCGGGATGATATCCAAAATCATCCTGATCCACGTCGTTCTCGGCATCAAACTCGGCCTCCTCTCCCCCGCGGGAGATGGGAGCGGGGTCCGAGGCCCCGGCTCGCTCCGCCCTGTCCGATTTGCACCCTCCCAGCTCCCGGCTCTGCGACAGCCCCAGGTGCTTGCGGCGCTTCCTCGTGGAGCTCTGTTTCCTTCCTCTTTTGGACAGCTGCGTCTCTGCCCGCTGCAGGATCACCTCTGAGGACAGGTAGCTGCTGTAGCTGCTCCAGTTTTCGTTCCCGTTGGGTTTTTCATCCGGGATCGAGTAGGAACGCCGGGGGTTGCTCTTTGCTTTCCTTCTGGAGCGATAAAGAGCCGGGCGGGCAGGGGTGGCTTCAGTGCTCGCACTTTTGGCCGAGAGGCTGAGGTAATGATCCTTTTCCTTCTCATTAATATCCAGTGAGGACTTAATGAAGGTCTTGCAGACATTGAGGATATCTGTCATCTGCAGATAGCTGGCGGCTGACATGACTTCGATCACATTCTGACCCGTTAAAGACAATATCCCTGAATACACAAAGTCCAGGATAACCATGAACGTCTCTGGAGAGAAGACCTCGAACGTGGCTATCGTTGGCTGGCTCGTCTCCTTCGAGCTCTGCGAAAGGAGCATTTTGAAGTAGCCACTGCTGGCGAACAGCACATTGCGATGGGCTTTGAAGACCTTGCCCTCCACCAGGAT